TCTATTGTCGGCGAAAAGTGTGCAAGGAACAGGCGCGACATGAAATGAAAGTGGCTGCAGTCAAACTGAATGCTATGTGATCTGTGGACTTTCCCTACCGGGCCCATGTGATCTTACTTGCATGTGGCTCAAACTCTGCGGAACAAAGTACACTACTGGTACGCATGCTACCATTTTCTATCTGGATTGTTTAGATAAAGTTTGCTTTCCGTTATGTACTGGGATTTCGAGTGAGCTCCGCAAATGACACTGGGCCGATCGCGCTAATAGCGCCTTAATTCGAATGATGCTCAGGTGCATTTATTTCAGTGCTGTCCAGGGATGCAAGCACCTTATTCTTGATGATTTTCCTTGAAGGACATTTGTCTTCTTCCCACTAAATCCCTGCCTTTTTTCTCTCCACTTTTGGTGGTATCACAGCTAGGCACCGAAATAGTGCTACTGCTGACCGATTATTATTTTAGTATGACAGTATGATTATTATTATTATTATTAGTGTATGATTATGAGATCTTTGACGTGAGCATGCAAGCTTGCGAGCTGGACCTCTGTCTGTCCTTGACGGACCTTTTGCAGTGGAATTTTAGATCGCAGTTCTGAGGACAAAACTTTCGACAAAGTCGGGATGAGTTATGCCGGGAACGATTGTACTTCCTTGGCTTGCTCGTAAAGTTCGTAAGTTTAGGATTTTGTCGGGAAAACCATTGTTTTGTTTTTTCTAAAAGTTCTGTGCAGATACCGTCAAGCATCCTCGAACTAAATATGACACAGCATCAGATCGTTGAGACTGCAGACAAAGTTTCCTTATACTTGTTGAGGCGTTTACTAGAAGTTCGACGTACGAACTGCTTGTGAAAATCCATGCTTTCAAATTTCCCTATCTTCAAATCTCCATTCGATCAACGAAGCATGAAAACAACATCTTACTGGTTCTCTGAATGAAACCACCGTCGTTTTCTGTATAAAATTTGCATCAATGAACATGGTGGGTTTGAAATATCCGTGTCTCTTTATGTTCTTTGAGTTAGAATTGCTTCAGGACAAAAAGTTTATGCGTTTTGGTGTATCAATCTGGTGTCGTTTGTTTCGAAAACAGACGTCGATCCTGTCGCCACTACACCCTAGTTGTCGTAAAGCTTGAAAAACCAGATGTTGCAAGCCCACTTGTGATAACAAAAACGCATTTCCACACACACACACAAGGTTTTCCTAGTCCTATTCTGGTTATACAAACGGAACTAAATTGAGGACTTGTCCTGAGGAACTGGTTTTCGGAATTAATCGCTGCTAGCTGAAGCATCTACCACTAATTGTTGTCTGTCCATATCGGTGGTCCTCAGGTTACTTGGAACCGTGTATTACTTTTAAGATATTGTGGGTTGTCGTTTCCTTTGGAGATTTTGATGCCCCAAATAATAGACCTTAGATCTCACGGGGATTACTCATAAGTAACAAACAGGAGAATTCCGAAGGAGACTAGACACGTTAGTCAATGGGAAATTTGTCAGGCTTATAGTTTGAGGTAACAACAACACATACCGACTTTCGTCTCTCTCTACTCGACCCTGTTCATTCAGTCCAATCAGTTAGCGATATAAAGAAAATTACTGCATCACATACGTTGACAACTTCTTGCATTCCATGATACGGAATGCATGTCCTAAGCTTATCTTAATGAACAAATTAAACAAAATGCGATGGAAATAATCTATCACGGAAGGGAAATTCACAAACCACCTATTCCATAGGCTTACGGCAGTACGTATCAGGTTTGTTACCCCTTTCCAAATTTTGATTGTCTTAAAACTTCAGTACCGAGTTCTCCGCCAGTGGCGTTATTTTATTCAACAAACTCAAGCTTTAGGACAGCAATTACGGGGAACTTGGTTCTTCCAGAATGGTAAGTCCATAAAAAGCCAAGTGTTTATCACAGTACGCCCACGGCAAAGTGACTCGCGGACGAAATGAGTGGGACGGGCTCATAGTGAACATCCTAGATACCTCGCATAGTCACATAAGTTAACAAGGGATGGAGATCCGATATAACAACGTCCCCTATGTAAGCAAACTGACAGTTTGTGACAGGATACCACTGTGTTGCGTGGCAAGCCTCGCAAGCAACCGACCAGGCCCCCAACTTCACATCAGATCACACCAGAGCGTTTGAGACACAATGTGACAATTTTCAGACCCCGTCGGCTCATCAATACAAGCCTCCTTCACTTGTCATTCAACTGTTCGTTGTGATATTGTCGATGTACATGGGGATGTTGTGACCTTAAGCATTTCCCATCCCTCTTGATTCGGGACACGTGCATGGGCATCATGCGTATGTGGATTCCACCCCCTGGCCAAGCGTACGTGGTATATAGTTGAGAGGCACTCAACCTAGTTCCTTCACACCCGTATACTTACAGTCTCGCTGATAAATTCCAAAGCAGGTTGAAACGTGTCTTGTATTTCAAAACGCAAGTTTTGACCACTCGTCTGCGGTGAACAACAGGTGGTCAACATAAGTTCGGGCGGATGTCTAATAATCAACATCAAATGAATCCGACCAACGTCAGCTATTTCAGCGGTTGGCATCACAAAAATAGGAGTTTTTCATTCCCCTTATATCCGTTCATTAGTGGAAATTTTTACTGGCTAAAAACTTTGGTCTACTAACAAGCTCTTTACTTCCCCTTCGTTTTCGAGATGGACCAAGTGGTTAGAGCGCGAATTTACTGACTGGAAGGTCCGTGGTTCGAACCCGGCCTCTGCCTCTCGACTTCCCCTGTCTAGGTTTGGGCAACCTGACAGTATCCCAGCCCTCGTGCCTCTTTCGTGTGGCATGGCAGCTAGGCACCTAAAGGGTGCTATAGCTGAACGATTTTTTTATTTTCGTATGTTGCTTTGTGGACGACTTGACGAATGTAAAAGGTAATCAGAATAGCTTACGAAAATAATCAGCTTTCATTCTTGGTGAATTTTTGGATGCAACGATAACGAGAATGAGTGTAACTCGTCACGTGGCTAACAGCTTGAACTAGTTGATCGTAGTCAGGTGACTGCTTGAAGAACCGAGACTTTGAAGATTCGAAAGCGAGTTCAATTCACCCGACTGTGTCTACAAAGTTTGGCAAAGTTTGTTCGTTACATTTTGGGCGCACTACCCATTATCGGTACTGATTTTTAAGGAACTACATTTGTTTACTGTGGATAGGTAACTTCACCCAACTGTCATGAAGTGATCGTTTATGTTCTCGTCTGTGAGGCAACTGGCGTGTGATGAATTAGCTTATTTTGTATGGAAGAAACGTGGCGCTACTCTTTCTGATGCATCACTGTTTTGCGTGGTACTACTGCCGATATTGCACTTGAGATGTAGAATCTGCAGATCAGTTGAGTGCCTACCTTGTGAGTTTCCCTTGTGAGCAAAATATGGTTCATGTCCTAGTGTAGGATGTCGTCCTTTCAAGATTGTGTGGTTTAATACAGTCCTCGGTAGATCATCCTGAGGTGGCGATCTCTCCTGATGGCAGTGTATATTTCATTCGCATTAGTTTCTGCTTTGCTTGAGAACGAATCGGTGAATCACTATGAACAATCGACTTTTAAATCCAGATCAAGCGACTGATTTGTGAATCATCAAACTGCTCGGACCAGAACAACAATATGCCGTTTATAAGTGTCTTCTCAGACTTAATCCTGCTACCTAATATGCATTTGGACCCGAAGGAGTGAGTATTTGTTTCCCCTGCGCTTTAGGCCGACTAGCTGGTCAAGATGATAACTGCTGAAATTACGACTGGTCTTTAGATCGCTAAAAGTTCTTCAGCAGTCAGTATGCTATGTGGTCCGTTACGTCATCCTTAAGTGCTGTCAACGCCAGGCACTCCATTTCCACTTTACCGCTCTGATCGACAAAGTGTTCTGATGTTATCCTGAATTCATGACAAACAGTACGATTATGTCGCTTCTTAGTTTTCAGAATGGAAGATTTTCACAACTGTGTGATCGTAACAGGCCATTCATGTGGTTACTGAGACCTCTTCGACGTACAACTTGTTTCATCGTTCATAGTATCCCATAGAGCTCAGTGTTTGGCTATTTGCATGCACCTGCAAAGTCAAAGTCTATCTTTACCCTGGTGAGACGTTTGCAGGTCTCCCTTGCATGCATGCAACTATTGTTCGTTTCTAGAACCAGTCAAAATATTTCCTAGAAGTGCTGACCGCGCAATATGAAAAACAAAACTTAAATTTTACTTTTTGACAACCCATGTGCTTCCGGTTTTGACGTTTTTTCGGTGGGAAACGGCATTTGCACGTCTCGGATGCGACCTCCATGTCAACCAAAATAGCGTTTTTTCCGTCGGTTTTGACAGAAGGGCCGGATTCGATAAATTTTCGGAACAAGCCTCTGCCTGCAATGTGTACAAATGTGCTTGTAAATGTTTACTTTCAGGGGTCGTCAGATAAACCCATTCTGTCAGCAAATCCAACCACCTCTGCATCGAACGGAGGATACAGGTGTTCAGGTGAGCTGCACCCCGGACGGTGTGAGCTACGGTTTCTGTAACCTGATACATCATCCGAAGCCTCTGCCTCGGGAATACGTGTACTTTGTGCAAGGGCGACAGTCTTTCAAGACGTCACCTTTTCAAGAACCAGAGTTGGCTGGTGGTTTTGAAACGGATCGCGACAAGCCACTTGACACAGTCGGGGGGAAAATCGCCCTGGCCAACTACTGTCCTTATTATCAGGTAAGATTTATGAGCAAGCCAGACGCTGTGAATATCGTTCATCCTTTCGTTTTTCTTGCTTTTGCCATACCTTTTGTTTCAAATACCCAACTCTTGTGTCGAACGTCATCACTCTCGATTTTGGGAACTCATCCCTGACTAACTTGGGTTGAAGAAACAATCTTGGATAGCACTTGGTACAAAAAGGCACATGTTGGGGTGGTTAGCAACATCACGATTTCTTGATCCTGAACGGGATTCGGTTTGCACAAAACTGATATTGGACTCTTCGTTTGTCTCCGAGAAAAAAAGTTGAAATGGCCTGGTTCCCAGTTTGTTTTTATGGCGGAGGATAGAATGCTTCCAACAAGGAAGAGAAGAACCTGGTCACTGTATTGAAAATAGTTTTTTCGTATACCCCACCGTGATGAAAACTTAGGTTCCCGTTACTCAGTTAGAGAGGGACCGTCACCAGATGGATGGATTTCCTAAACTGAGTTAAGCTCACCTCAGAGGAAAACCAATTTTCCAAGGGAGACATTTGAACCTAACATGGAGGGCTTAGCATGCCGCACCATGGAAAAAATCATATTCATGTACTATATCCCCACTAATACCGCTCCATATCTGACGGATTTTGCAAGTGAACAACCAAGTACCCGGTTATTGATCGCTATTGTCCGCTGATACGCTAAAGCACAGCACGCTCCTCGTCCTACGTGTGGTCAAACATTTCAGTTTTTGGAGGTCTCTTATATATCCCATTGCAAAAATCACACTGGTGATCAGTAGCTGTCCAGTGGCAACCTTTTTGGCCGAGAATCACCCATAATTCTAGCCTAATCACTTTGAACTGTTAGTGCAACTGAACTGTCGGACACTGGTTTGTTTTATCCCATTTGTTTGTCGTAACATTTTTGCGCATATGACCTTTAATTATTTACTCTCTATGCGACTACAGATGAACGTCGTTTAGCCGGGGACAAAACTGGTAGAGGTGGTAAGAGCAAGATAACCTCGCAGGATTCACGCTGCTTTGACATTTGTGCTAAAAAACAAATCAGTTTCAAAGCTTTTAGCTTAGTTATGGTTCAGCTGGGTGAATGAAGGTGAGAACTTTTTACGACCCAGAGGAGAGCTAAATGAATGTCACCTTGGGCTAGGTATCAAAGCATTTTTTGGCATCAAGGTGTGCTGGGGCCAGCGACTCTATTTTTATGGCGCGCTTTCGGAATAGCCCCCTTGTTCGTACGCTTTGGCTTGTTCGCTCTGATGTTGCTGGCCGGTCTGTTGCGAGATTCTTGTCCAGTACTTACCTGGAAGCTTGTCTGAACGTTCGAGGGCACAGTTGCGGCTGGATGTGCGCATCTATGAATGGTTACAGCCAGCCTCGTGGGTAACGAATTTCTTGACAACGCCAAAATTGTCTCCATTGAGTGGTTCCTTCTATTTGAGGATCATCGGTTAACATCTTTAATAAAGCCACATGGCTGATCACCTCACCCGAAGTAAACAGGCTGTTCGTCCTTTCGGAATCTAACCTCCGATACTAATAGATCTGTCTGTTGTTCAGTTCGCAACATTCAGGACAAAGTGCATTTACAACTATTTGCGAGTAGAAAGATGCTTTCGCTCGAGTGTAGCAATTCCTCTCAGCACTTCATTGCTACAATCGTATATATATATATATATATATATATATATATATATATATTAACTAGACAACCAGTTGCTCTTATCGAGAGCACAATTCATCAAGGGTATTATCTGCAGTCGGGAGCGCTGCATCGCGACCGTGAGCACCACGGGTTCCAATATGTGAGTGCATCTTTAAGGCAGGAAACTTTCGGGTCATTATAATGGCCTTATTATTGTTTCCAACCCTTCCAACATACAACCCGGTGATTCAAGGATTTTGGCGTACCAAAGGGAACTTGGTCACTGAACAGCTGTCTCGATTATTGTGTCTAGTAGTTGAATGTTCCAAGTTGAACAAGAGCGGAATGGTCAAGAGAAGCGGATGCCTTTAATTACTTTCGTCGCGCTGTGTAAATTTTGTCGAAAAGTTTGTTCTTTTTACCGCATGGCAGACAGCAACCATAGCTTCAGATAAAAAAAACTTGAAACGTATTTTCAGCCTGACTCATCTCTTCCCGGAATACGACTACATTCTGTATGGTTGTAATTCTATAATCCAACGCCCTGCTTTTCCTTCCATTCAATTTCATTTGTGCTTCGCTAGTCTAGCCTTAGGAACACTGCGAAACTAATCTCTAAATCGCTTCTATTTCTAATGTGTTTTGGAGTTCCGCAGGATCACGCTGTGTCCAAATGCGCTTAAACTGATTGAATCGTGATGTTTTATAATTACTTCTTCTTCAGTAATAGATTTTCTTCCACTCACGCTGTTTATTTTAACTTTGGAGAACCCAGCGGTTGTCCAGTTTCCCAATAAACTAGATTGAATTTGTCACGATAATTTTGCTTTTATGTTCTCTCCCCCTTTTTACAGCGTCTTACAGCGCTGTTTTGGCACTACAAACAATGGATGAATGTCTGCAATGTCCCTGGTCTTTGCTGTATTTGTGTCGCTTTTTGCGTCACAGCGGTAGAAACTGATGTGACGCATGCACTAACCGGGGGAATTGAAATACTCAAAATGTAACTTGCTCGAATAGCTGTCAGCATCCCAGAGCAAAAGTCCTCGGACAATAGCTTTGAAAACCTGATTTTTATCGAAATCCTTTACATTGACGGTCTTGTATAAAAAGACATTTAAAACAACTCCAACGCGAATCTGTCCTGTGGCCCAACGAGGCCAACTTTTGTAATGCTATCGTTGGTTTTGTCTATAAGTCATTCCTCGTGTCAGTTCAATCTGGAGTTGCAGCAAATATTATACACGTGTAAGTGGCAGAGATTGGCTGGAAACTAGGGGAGGCTAACACGTATCACGACTGCATTACGCTCTTATTTCACTTCGTCTGCAATCAACCAAAAGGTCACGCGTCATGGGACATTTCGCTGAGATAAGATTCTCGAAAGAACTGATTTCACTATTTCCGGTTGTCATGGAGTGTCGCAGATCGCCTAGTCTCCGGCAAAAAAAAACGTTATTGCAAACGCTTTTTTTGGATAAAAATATTCTCATTGCATGGAGTTTCGAGATCGCCTAGTCTCCGGCAAAAAAAAAACGTTATTGCAAACGCTTTTTTTGGATAAAAATATTCTCATTGCACAGGAGTTCTCTCTAAGAACTGAAGACGCTGATTTTGAGTTTCAGCTGTACGTTGATCGTTTTTCCCCAAGCTGTTTGCCACACATCAGACGTAAGCATTTCCCCACTCTCACACACGTGGAGATGGTTGCAAGTTTCGACGGTGACATATTTGCGATAGTTTACCTTACTTGTCATCATCGTCGACAGAAACACATCATTCCCATTTATAAGAAACTTCCTAAGAAACTTTTTGAAGAAACCAAATCACGATACGTGTGTTTGACGGTCTCATCTCTGTTATCGACTTGCCCAACTACCGAGTTCCACTTATTGAAACAAACCGGTACGATAATCACCCATCAATGTACGACTGAATGTAGTTTTCACCAGTTGTTTTACGCCAGTTCGTTGGTTTTACCGGCCTCATGGCCAAAGTCCTCCGTAAAACATCTTGGAGGGTCAGGGCATGCACACTCGAAGATGTCGTAAGTCAGTGGAATGAAGACTCATGTACCCAGAGCAAAATGGTTTGCGAAAGAAGTGTGTCTCATAAATATTTTAATAACAGTTTGCCCAGGTTCGTCAGTAGAACATTCAGGTTGCATTCTTAGCGTATTTTCAATCGCTGACGATCAGCATGGCCACTCGACTCAGCAATGTCGTCTACTCGAGGTTGGAACTATAGATGTCGGATCCGTTTCCCTTCGTCGTTTTTGATGTGAGCATCGACTGAGCTATGTTGTAACGATATTTATCTTTGAGCATTGCAACCAGGTGCTGACTGTCTATCCACGCTAACACGCCTAAATGTATCTGCTGATGCGCCAATTTTCGTGGGTCTGTCTAATAGATTCCGGTTTTAGCAAGGCGGAAAATTTACTGACGTTGCAAAGAAATCAAGTGGATAATTTCAACAGGGACATCTTCGTTCGATCTTGACTCTTTTGAATTCCGGATCTCTGATGTGATAATACGTGCGTTGTGACGAAGACAAATGAATTTTTTGAACTTAAATCTTGTTTCCAGGGAATGAGAAGGCTTTTTGAAGGGAAGTTGGTCCTGTAGCATTAACTTGTTACTGATCGTAATTCAAACACAGCATAGACTGGATATCAGCCGCTCAAAATTATTCATAATGGAAACACTCCTGGTTGAATATGTCCCATCAATTTGATGTAACTCAGGATACCGTTAGTATGCTTGGACGCCACCACTAAATACTGAAGTAGGAACAAAATACTCACAGTATCCCACTTTATGGGCTGCGCTGTATTTTAAAACGCAGTTGTTGACAAGGTAGTTCTTAATTCACGATACAAATTGTTTTTTGCTGCTCGTATATGCACAAGGAATTACCACAAATAAGAAACGGCCAGTGTTTTGGCAACTGGATAGGAGAACGGCTGTTTACGGTCATCCGGTCGAATGAACTCGGGACCTTAGGACTATACAACAAATGCTGTAGCCCGCTGCAGCAACTGAAGAGTCACCTGAAGCTTGTAGTTATTAGTATGCGAAGGTGTTGTAGCCAGGTAGCTGTACTCGTATCTGTTGTTCGAGTTGCGAAAATGTAGCAACTGTCAATCGATAGAATATCAGTATCGTGTTGTAGTGCAACTTGGCCGATTAGCCTATTGGGTCTAGTGGTCTTACTGGCCGATACGAAGTGCCAAATTAAGTACAGCCGGTCACTTTCCGTGATTTATATGGTATGTTTACAGGCAGTATCTATAGAAGGAGAAGTATTCAGATCAAACAGAACGGATAAAGCAGTTATGACAGTGGTGGGCGGCGTCAGCATTCGCACACCCACCCTGCTTCATGCAACGAATAGGATAATCTGGCTGACGTCACCACATCGCGAATAGGGGCGGTACTATATTTCGTCGTTACATCACTTTAAGGACGCCAAAACCTGAAAATCACAGCGTGACTATCCACCTGCTTTGTCCTTGATTGTTTTTGAGATTCCATTTGGAGAAGAGCAATTTTTTAAAAAAAAGCTTTTCTGTCATAAGTATAACATATCATGTTAGTAACTTTTGTGGGGCTGTCAGTGTAGTTTAATTCTTAAGCTTCAACCTGCTGTACTTACCCTAACCAACACGAGATGAAGACTGTCAGACCCCCGTTCATTGCTGAGCCCGGTTTTGTAGATACTGCATGGGCGAATTTCAGTAAAACCTAGCCGGTTACTGAGTTACGGATCCGTCGCATACTGGTAAGTTTCACATTCTTCGCGGCTACTTCACCGAAGTTATCCAACGGCCCTGTCGTGCATGACAGCGCATACTTTCAAGTTATAGGACTGAAGCATCAACGCATGTGAATCATGTATTCCTATAAATCTGTCGACTCAAAGTAATCTGTGACTCTGTATGGCGTCACTCAGTTAAGCTTTCTATCGTAGGACATCCTAGTAAGATAACCCACAGTTATGGTCAAAGTGGTCTTTTCCTCTACGTTATTGTGCATCATAGCCGGCTTCACCGTCGAATTAAGTTGGTGTAGCCTAGGGACCATGATTACCTATCTGCAACCCTGAAAATGCTTTCTAAAGGTCTTGTATTTAGCGGTGGTTTTTCGTCAGTATCCACCAACTTTTCATCTACCTACGGCTATGTAGCTAGTGCATTCAAAGTCCATCTGTTTATTTTTATCCATACTCCGAACAGTCGCGCAAGTGAGTGATTGATGCATCATTCATGCTTACTAATTCAAATGGCTCTATATTGTTTTCGCTTTGGTATAAAGTTGTGTAAATGTAGAAGCTAACCTCATGTTCAACCCATGCACAGCCTCTAGAAGACTGATCACGCGCGATGGATTCCAGTTACCCCTCGTTTTATCTGTCCTTTCCAATTCCGAGTATTTCGCTCCTCATGAACGCCGCCCACGATGATGAAATGTTGATTTACTTGAGAAACTCTGCAATTATTTTATTTTGCCCAATTCTTGTGTGACGGTTCATCCGTTACAGGTGTGACACTACCGTTAATTCATGTCCTCGGTAATCCGAGCAATTCGTATCCATGGTTGTTTTCTTTCTGATGAGTATCCACAAGAATATCTGGATGATTTTTGCAGGGTGTTTGTACTGTGGGTCACCCGTTTCAAGCCAGCGGGTTCTTTACGAAAAACACGACAGTCTTTTACGGTCAGACATCTGCCGTTCACAAGCCCTCAAGGTGATTTCACCCCAGCGTTTTCTATGCATTACCTCCAAACTTCACGTGTTCTCAGGTTTGCCGACGCTGCTGCAATAAGTCCATCAAAGCCTTTGTTCTGTGTTCGTATGCAGCTTGGTGTGACCAGCAAGCTGCCTTGGTGGACATAGTGGTTCAATAGACCATACTTTTGTTCGGTCAATTGATCTATGTGGTTCGTGATCTTTGTCTCGAAGATTGTTATGAAATCCGTTTTTCATTGGAGTTGGTACTAACGAGATAGTACGAAGCGCTTGCGTCTACCAGTCTGTTTGCTTTCATTGTGTTATTTAAACTTGTAAAACGGATTAATTGTTTCAAAAATGCCTAAGCCGCCTATGACTGAATTGATTAGAAGGAAAATGATCCTTATGAGAGGGTTCTGAATGGCCGTTTCTAGGCAGAGGATTCCACTAATAAAAAACGACTCCGATAAACGATAAGTGGCTGTCCATATTGTTTGTGCCTAACTGCCACATGTCGTATTTCCTCACTCCAACATCTGCAAACATGGGTCTTAAGGCGACAATGCACAATCGAAATCTGTGTTACCATCACACTTAAGTTATCTTCAATTCGCAATCATCCTGTTTTTATTTTCGGGTGCTTTCCTGACCCTTTTCCTTCAGTTTGTGTGATTGTTTGTGAGTGTGACTTTCCCAACCCTTGACGAGTTCCACTTAGTGCCAATCCAAATGTTGTCTCGTTTTGATGAATCTGTCCGCTGCGTACAACTATCCATCCTTCTCTTTCTGTCTTAGGAAATTGAATGGGAAAGAAAGTTGGATGAGCCGACAATTAACACACACTGTCACACGTTGAACAATTACAAAGGTGAGATCAATTTGCATTGACCCACTTTTATCGTCTTTCGTTTCACCTTTCCGAATGCAGTTGATGCGAATTTTTTCCAATATTTATCCTATTAGTTTTATGGACGCATTAGGTTCTTAGAAATGGTCGATATAAATGAGACGAAGATTTAAGAATTACGTGTATGGTCTGATTTTATTTACGAGAGCATTTGAATTGAAATGTTCAAGACCTGAAATCAAGATTACTCAACCGGTCATTGGAGCCATTCAACAACCTTTTTTTTAACTTAGCGGTGTCTGTCTCCCGTGTGGGATTGCATTGGTTCCAACATGTGCCCAAAATTATTAGGTCAAAACCGTAACGGACATTTGCCATTCGTAGCTTAGTCAACGCACGGAAACACGGACCCGCGATCCCAACAGTGTCCTATTTCATGCTTGGTGCCGCCTGGATCGAACATGTTTGATCCAGTCGAGCCCCACTTCCAATTTGCCGCAATGAAACGTGTGAAAACATGCATATGCACGGCAGTGTACTGTTTAGTTTTGTCTGCGCGTCGAACCTGAGTGCCATAAAACAGAATTGTGCTTTCGCAGATCCCTAAGAAAGATTTCATATGAACCATGCTAGCGAGCTGTGAGTGTACAATGTATTAACCAAAACGTAGATGTAGTTGCGCTTTGTACGCTCCATCCTGATTGATGACCGATGGCTCAATACTGACATTCATACTGCACACTCGTGCACATGTGCTTGTATGCATCCGTGTTTCAGCTCTTATAGCCAGTCTATTGGATCATCTGACCATTTATGATCTATCGAATGAATATTGGTTGGCTGTTATCACCGAGGGCTTTTGGAAAGAAACTAACCAGAACCACACCAGAACGATATCGGGGGTTTATTGCGGGTTTTGAATTCGACGAAACCTGCTTTCTCGTCACCACTTTCGGATATCCGGTCGCAATGCCGTATATGAATAAACGCACAAACGGTCGCTAAATTAGCAACCGCCGCTCGCAAGCCTCATTCTATTCTAGTTCACTTTGAACTACAGTGTGGCGCAGAATCTTGTAAAACAAAAGTCAATGCGCTGGTCTGCACGATAGGTTGATCCCTTCCAAACATACAATAGCTTCAACTTTGGTTGTGTCATTTTGTGGGAGATGAGAGCGCTTTCAAGTAGCCGCGGCAGTCACCTTGCTCTCGGAATACTGATGACTGCCTTCAGATAGTCCAATGACTGGGAGTTGTGTTTTCACTGAATACAGGTGAGCGCAGTCCCGACCCTGATTGTAATAGGTCAAGAATAGTCAACTGAAGCCGACAATCCAAAAAACCCCATCGACAGATCAGCATTTGGTATGTGTGTCTTTCAAAGTAGGCTGCCCAAAGTAAAGCCGACCTACATAACTTCTGATTGACAAAAATAAATAAACTTTAAAGCACACTTATTTGCAGATTTCACTGGTGGTAACGAGGGGGCTCAACTAAATCCTTCGTTTATGCTATTCTCCATCTCAGTATGCTGAACAAACACCGTTTCATTTGGTGTGATGTTCAGGATACGGAAGTATATTTTCCTTGCACTACACCACACGTTTTTTGTGAAAATCATTCGACAGCCCACTATCGGTTTTCCCCGTCTTGAGACTCATCATATTAGTGGTGTCCCTGAGCTTATGTGAACCCTATGTTCTACTCGAACACCAAGGCGAGGAGATACAATTATTTACAAACTGAATCACCCCGACGTTTTGAATATTGTGCCAGTAGAACCATGCACAAACGAGTAATTCAGTTGAGCCTCTCGTTAACCCAACTCGCAAATGAATGTATTTCACTTAATTTTAGTTGACCACAAGTCAGTCTATCAGTCATCCGTTAGGACCAAATCAGCTCGCTATATTGCGTACAATTTAGAGTTCAGGTGGAACATAACCCTGGTGAAAACACTGACACAACATCTATCTGATGAGCTAAAAGAGATGTGAAGTAAACAGTGGGCTGTCAAAGGCCATTTAGGAGCCTTATGGATATGGCAGAGAAATAAACTTCAAAGCCCAACTCACAGAGGGATGCCTCAGAGTCACTATTCTGTGAATTCACAGGCCACACTCTCTCGTATTCAGAGATTCATCATGCAATCGGTCGCTTCATTCGTCTCACTGGAACTTCTGACTGACCACCATAATGACGTCATATGGGAGAATCCGCCAAGGAATCGTGCTCCACTGGCCCATGGCTGCCTTGACAACAGGCAGCAGACTTGGGCAACAGTCGTCTAATTCGGATTGGACTTTACTTTCTCCCCACCAGAATTACAAGTTAGAACTAAGATTGTGTTAAAATGACCGAATGTAATCCGAGATTTGTATTTTTAAGGTCTTCGTTGCAAGTGATCTTGGAAACAGTGAATTCGGAATGCGGACACGGAGTATCGCGTAAATCCTGAGGTAAACCCACAGGGAGAACGCGAATTCAGCCCCGGTGCTTTATAACGGCTAGTCGAAAAATCATATGAGTTCATCAAATTTGTATAAGTAACGAATGAAGCAATCAGTTTCATATTGGTCGCATGGCCGGGAATTTAAGAGTTAGTCAAATTTATTTCTTTGGGAATATTGTTTCTAAATTTCACTTTTAAGATGAAAACTCAAATAGCTTTACTCACTTGTGGGCATGCGTGTTCAAAGTGCAATCGAATCTGTTACTTCTCGAGTTTCGGTCTATCAGTTATGTCTGTTGCTCATCTACGTTTCCGTTTGGGCATTGCTGTCGTGTCTTAATTGGGGATGAGTTTGTGCTCTCCTGTCTTGTGTGGTTGCGTAACCACACGTAGTTAGACTAGCCGAAAGCGGTTCTCATTATGGCGATGCTTGATCATGATTCAGGTTTCAGGTTGTTTCGAAATTCCGCATTCCAAAGAGGAGCGATTTGTCATCATAACTCTAAGTTCCTGGGCCTTATTCCATGTCGGAAAAGGCAGCGTTCTTCGTAGTGTGAATCATAACTTGACCAGTGGACTTTAAACGCGCACTTAATTGTGAATTAAGTCACCATTTTACGATGTTCTCATGGGGTTTTGTCTAAAAAGTCCGCTCAGTCACTTTTAGAACTACTAAACAGGACAAAATTGTACCGTTTTCAGCGTTCTTCCCTTCTCCAAGCGTTTGAATAAAGGATAGTACATTGTATTGATTACTTGGTCAACTCAAAAACCTGAATATCTATAGGGAATTCCTATTCATGCATTACCATGCCCTTCGACCTGCATGTTCCCAATGTATAAAACATGCTTGACCGGCTTTTTACTTCAAAAAGGATTAAACCAAATTACAGAGGTTGAGAGAATGCGTGCTTCTTTACACATAATTTTAAGATGAGTTTTTAGGCAGTGTGTATGGCAGAAGATTGCTCCGAATGATATTTGGCTGCATACTACGATGCCTGCTCTCTGTAAACCTGACTCACATAACCCACATAACCTCCCACATAACCGGCTTCGTATGAATGAAACAGGGAGCAAGCTAAATAGGATGTTACTTGATTGGATTCATTCCCATCTCTTTGGACTACAATTACTAGGAGTTCCTATGAACTGCTTGGCTCAGACGTACTAAAACTTGCCGTGTCACTTGTATTTTCGGTTTACCTACGATATGGTTAAGATCTCTATTGCAGTTGTGAGAAAGTAGTTTACACTGTTGAATAACATGCAGCTATTGATTCACGAGGTGTTCTCTCCCCACTGTTTGCTTTTCCGATGCACGCTGGGCATCCCGTCGATTGAAGTGATCGATTTTCACAAACAGACAAGTGACTGTTTTGTTTTCCATCAAATACCATGATGGATATCTGTTTTCTCCCATCGGACACCGTTTATCTGCTCACGGGTGGTGCCGTAAACACGGTTTTTTACGACTGTTGTTTTTCAGAACCAAAAAATAACTTCAGGCTGGAACAATTTACACCGAAATCTATTTGTGTACAACACTCACCTCACTGGCGCCTGCGCAACAACAAACAGGTTTTTGGATCGCCTGTTGAGGGCGCTGGATGCTATTCAGTAAGTCATTTGTTGTTACTTCGCGGTAGCAAAACCTCATTCCTAATAACTGCCTCTGTCTATGAAGCTAACTGTTCGAATAAGGTAAAACCATTTCGGTACATCACCCGAAACCTAGTTCTTTCACCTGCGTTTCTGCATTTTATTGCAAGACCATCAATAATGTTCCTCTATCCGGACACCAGTACATTCAAACACTGCCGACAGCCTAGCCCATTTATTTGACCTGGACCATCACGAACCAGTTATCACTCTCAACCATCGGCTCAATCGGCTCTACCGTTCTGACGGTATTGTGATATTTTGGTAATCTTCAATTTTGCCATTCTTTGCACAGCGAAGTCTGAATGAACTTCCTTAGTGAAACGAGATTTGGCTGAAACTAAACCAGTTCCCTCCAAAATGCACACAGCCCGCCAAGTATTGATCTGCATATACCATTGGACAGGACTTTCACGCGTGAATTTGACCCACTGTCTAGCTGTGTAACACACGCTATCTCTCTCATGGGGGCTTGTTGCACTCCCGTCACACCAGGAAATGTATCATTTTCAGCAATAGACCTCGATACATACTATGGGAGGACAGATATGTGCATCAATTGACTGTTCCTACCCAGATTACTGTGCGATTTTCTTACTGATCTTCTCCACTGAACAAGTAAACTAACATGTAGTGAAACTGGGCTACCAACCGTCGTACCGCTTGATTCTTCAATTATGTATACTAATTGAGCTCCGATATTTAATATCACTGTTGATGGGCCTCGGATGATCACACTTGACCACAGGTGACTGTACTCACATCCGGTTTCACTATTCGGCATGGTATATGGAATATCAATTCGTGGTGCCAACCTGCGTCGACCATTGAAACTCATAACGGGCATGTGAAGATACATCAACTGATGTACTCGGGTGTGAACATGTCTAGATGGATCAAGTTTCCAATACACGAGTGATGATGATATGTTATCTTTTAGATGAAAGCCGAACAGGAGAACGGTTAGGATAACACAGTTATTCGGCGCGCTAAGCAGCCAACAACTCAAACAAGGAGCACAGTTCGTCAGGATTTTCGTACAACCGAGCTCAGCTCGTACTGCTATTCGGAAAACCGGAAGCCACAATATTTATAGACTTATTGAATTGGTTTCTGGTTGTCGTATGGAAAATCGCAGATAGGCAATATGACAAGAGAGCATACAGTTATCTGTTTGGAGTGGTCTGCTAATGCATATGTTGGATTGGCCTAAGCATTCGCAAATACTGCGGTTTGTACAAGATGGGACGGTGAACGTTTGTGGACAGGCCTGTTGCATCGTAGACAGCTGGTGGGCCCTTGCCCACAGTGGGTATTGTCACGTGCGGTTTGGGGTCACCAGCATGAACCTCCGTCTGAACGCTCTGTAGCTGGTGTAAACTTGAGAGAATAAGACCGGAAAACAGATAGAAGGCGTTTCGTAAACTCCCGGCATGCCCGACAGGCGGCCCGGATTTCTCAGGTCATTTGGGTACGTTGTATGGTCGTAGTTTGAGGAGATTTCACGATCTACAACGGAAATTCCGCCATGTTAATGGTGCATCTGTGTGCTGAAAAGCCGTGAAGCCTGTTTTATCTTTATTGGGAATCATCAGCAGTGCGCCTCAAGAAACTCCACTGGGTTTTCGAACCCGTGACCTTCCGACCAGTAGTTGTCCACTTAAACGTTCGGCCAGGGGTGGCCAGCAATGTGATTAGTTCTTCCTTAGACAGGATGTAGCACTCTCCCTCAAGTTTTTTTTTAAAAATATTATGAACGCTTCTCACTAAACGTTACATTTAGTTTTGTTTACTTTCCGAGGTATTAATTACTTGGGATCTTCCGTACTGAACTGCTCAGACTTTCATTGCACTCATTTCTACCCAGCCAGGTACTGAACCATGATATAAACTCAATACGTTTGATGCTGGCCCAATTATCAGGAAACCTCATCCAAGCACTCATGTAACTTTGGCAGCAATTTGAGGGTCGCTGTTGTCCGATATTTTGACCCTGGCTGCTTGGAACTCATTTTACACGAGTTACTCGCAAATTTGCAAGTAGCGAGTTAGTAATCCCAAAAAGACAAACTGGGTGAGCAGGCCTACTCAATTGCTTAAAGTTCAGGAGTCTGAGAAGGCATGACAGAAGAGGTGTTAGTTGGTTCCAGTATCTAAATAGAAATTTATCGTGAACAATTACTCATTCAGATGTCATACATATGTCTCGAAATTACAATAAGTATAAACAGGTGAAGCAAACTTAGTAACCACGTCACCTCCGATGTCTGTCAGATAGCTCACAAACGTGGATTCTTTGGCCGTGGTATTCGACTCATGGCATAACTTCGCAATCTTATGGATGGTAGCAGCGGATCGAGTACACTAGCGCGCAAAGTAATAGGGTCAATCCGAGGTGGAGTCAAACGAATAACATGAATCCCAGTGGTTGTCAGCTACACAAGCGATGCCTTACCAACTTTGACATTTAACGGCGAAAAGGGTACGGCTTAACGTGGCCGAAGGTGTACTTTGGAATGAACAGATCAAGTGACTTCTGATTTTATAAAATTGGTGTCATACTATTTTCACGTCTTTCCACTTCATGCCTGAGTGGAAACCACCACCAGACGAAGCATCGTTTGTAATGAAGTCGGACCACAACAAGAAACATTGGACAACAAGGATTGTATAGGGTGGACCGATCGAACGCAAAAAAGCACACCATGAGGCTATAGGCAATAATTTGGAGATTAAATTGGGGGAACTACTCACTCAACCGTGCACTGATGTCTCCTCTAATGGTGACGGAACTTTTCCAAGTCAATTGCCAAACCATCTGGTCAACTACTATCTTGTGAGGGATGGTTAGATTGAATTTCATATTGCCAGTTCTTTTGAGGATGGTTTTCATTTTGTAGAACCGCCACTTCGAGAATGAAATAGAAAACAGTTAGATGTGATAAAAATAGGAGCATGTGCACTGTCTAAAAATATCCGGAGACAGATTAGGGGCATTTAACTGCGATTATTTGTTCATGATTTCGCAATAATTGTAGCATTCAGTTGGTTGCGGGATTTCGTAGAACACATACTCACATGACTCGTTTGACAACCATACAAGCGTTTCCCCCTGAAGTCTTCAGAATGTCAGCAAATTGTGAACAATGCCTAAGGATTAGTGTAGCGTTTAATGTGTGTCTCCGATTGTGTTTTTCTTTTGTCCTAGTTCCGTTGTTCCATCGTTGAAGGCGGTCTGGTCATCGAATTGGCTGGTGGGATCGCACTTCCTTGTGTGGTCCCTGGGAGTACGGTCCGTGTGAAGGCTTGTCTAAAATCACAGGGACTCAGCATAGACGGACAATTGGTCTGTCCGGAATGTTCCTTGTTCTGTGATGTGAGTTCAACACACGGCTGTTTCGAAGGTTACACTGGAACCTTTTTCAATCTTATACTGCTGTCACTTCTTATGGGAGAACGGTTCTTGAAAGCGTGATTAAAATGATAACAGGGCTCTCCGATGTTCCGTTTTGTTCACCGTTTACTGAGGTGTGACGAGGACTCTGAGGGTGCTTCTTCCTGGACGCTGGGTACAAGTTCTCATCGGAAGCTTAGTTTTACTGTATATGAGAAAGTCAGTTAATTCTCTCGCTGCATACAAAGCTTAATGTAAGTAGGGACACTTTCACGGGCATCTCGATTCCATTTTAGTACAATTATCGAAATAGGAATCCAATTTTATCATCTCGAGCAATGTCCGATTAAACAGTTGGTTTGTTTGGAACAACGAACAAGGGAAACGCACTATAAGGAGATTTTTAAATCATCCCTAGTTCTACGTTGGATGGCAGAGGTATAGGTAGGATGCTATTAAAGAGGTAGGTGGCGCTTGCACTGTTGGAGATACGACCTTGGCATTACCTACTCCTGTGAAAGGAACAGGCGATTGAATACCGCTTATTTTCGGAATGAATTTCAGGTTCTCGTGGATGTATTACTATATTACTGATGATCAATTTAGAATGCGCCATTGCCTTTACTTGTGTAAACTTGAGGGTAAATATGAGTTCTGATGGACCTTCCGAAGGCGAAGTAGGAACAAGCAGAGCTCACAAATGACGTGAGCGGAAGCCGACCAAGGTACCCAAGAAGTTTGCTTTGATTTAACAACTGCAGCTGTTGTGAATACTGTTGGGGATTCAGTAAAAGCTGTACCGTGTTGGTGTTACGGGACATCTTACTGATTAGGTTGGTGGTGAAAAACACCAACGTTCCGATAACTGGACGATGGGTGCTCCTCCGAAAAAAAAGTATAGTCCCATGGAATGTCAACATGACCTCCTTGATGGTCGCCGTTAAATCGGGATGTCATGGATGTGCGAAAATTTATGTTTCAGGCGTCTGTAGGTACCTGTGTGTTGTGGCTTGCTGACGATAGTGTAACTTCTGTATCGCTTCTTGGCTTCATGCTGAGCCCCCCACGGTATATTCAAAGGGACAGCAGCATGAGACAGCGCTTTATGGAGACAAAGGAAGATTATTACAACCAAATTTACAGGGTCATCACAAAATATTCCATAAGGTCGCGCCAGAATCTTCTAACTAGTCTTTCGACTGTTCTTTACCTACCACAGCCCAAAGAATGTCCGCTCCATATGCATAACTTTTCTCAACTTCATTCGTCTGTGCGGAAGTTTACCCGAGCCCATACTATGTCCTACCGTCCCCGGCATTATTCACTGTCCACGGAAGCCTATTTCATGCACAACCAAACGGCGACTTTCTCAAGGCCTTGGGATACGGCGGTGAATCTGGTGCAGCCGCAGGAGATTGTCCCAGACTATTGTCCATCCTCTTCCTCCTCCACCTCCAGCCTTACGACCGTTCCACAGAGTCCCAGTTTCACCATTCTAATCAGTGTGCATCTATTTTCTTTCTTATCTTGGCTTACTTTCTACTAGACGTAACTATCCGATCATTCTTCCGTGCTCTGTTTCCGTCTATAATTGTCTTTCAATACTCGAATACAATGTTTATATTTTTAATACTATACTTTTATTCAGTCTCGAATGGAGGGTGGAAGATCTCGACGTGCATGAGTGGTGATATACTGTTGCCGTAAATTATGAGGTCACGAGATGTTTTGCTACCAGTTCGATAATGTAATGGAGATTCCTCGAACATCTTGTGATAAAAGGATTCAATACAAAACAATTCAATGGATAATGTGACCGGTCGAAACCGCCTAGGTATGTGCGCATGTACTGACGGCAACCTCACCCCCAAAGATTTAGCGAAATTCCTACTTGCTTGCTTATTTTCCATGCAAAACACAATATGGGGGACTGTGGTGACACTTGTTTGCTGCTCGTTTCTTAGGTGATTCTGCTGCAAACCCCGGCTCCAGAGTCTAACAAGAATACAGCAGCTTTATGATGAACGAGCTGACGTAAAATTACCGGGGCGTCGCGGCATTCAAAGCGAAATTTTGACATTGAATCAAGGCGTCCTACTTGCTTGCTTATTTTTCATGCAAAACACAATATGGGGGACTGTGTTGACACTTGTTTGCTGTTCGTATCTTAAGTGATTCTGCTGCAAACCCCGGCTCCAGAACCCAACAAGAATACAACAGCTTTATAATGAACAAGCTGACGTAAAATTACCGGGGCGTCGCGGCATTCAAAGCGAAATTTTGACATTGAATCAAGGCTCTCCGTTCGACGTTGAGTGATTGATCGGCTTCACTTCTAGGACTCACTCGAGCATCATGGGTCCGCTGACTGGATTCTCGAATGTTCTGGTAATAGATTCGGCCTTCTTTCTGAAGCGGGTCCACATGTTACGGACGCATGTGGTTGCACCATGTGATCGTCGCCTGGTCGTGAGCGCCTACAACGCGCACGGGCGTAGCTCTAAAACTGCACAGCTAAACCTCGGTCATCTGGCTGAGGAGTGTGAAACGAGGGCGAGATGGCCCAAGTGGCTAGAGCGCGAATTTACTGACCGGAATGTCCGTGGTTCGAACCCAACCTCTGCCTCTCGACATCCCCTGTCTAGTTTTGGGCAACTTGGTAGTATTCTAGCCTTCATGCGACTTTCGGGTGACATGGCTTCTAGGCATCGAAAGGGTGCTACAGCTGAACGATTTTTCTGAACAATCTTCCTTAAGCGGTTTTAGCTATTTCCAATAAGTTTCGGACATCCTGGGATCATTTAAAGCAATCTGACCGTGACAATCATACATCGTAAAGTAAGTGGGCCACGAAGTTATTATCCCTAGTCTGTTCCTGAAGCGCAGGCATTGCTATGGTCACAGTGCGAAAAACTGAGGACAGTCGAAATGGTTGCTTATCCTGCCTTGATTCGAACTTCGTTTAGCTCACTTCCGTGACTATGCGCTAATCGTTGACCATTAATATCGACCACGAACACTTGTCCTGTAATCTCCCACAGTTCGATTTGTCTAGACATCTTACCTCCGTGTCCAGTTTTATTGTTTTCCGTCGTCAGTTGTGAAGGGATGTTTAGATTGAATTCCATTATCCCTAGTCTGTTCCTGAAGCGCAGGCATTGCTATGGTCACAGTGCGAAAAACTGAGGACAGTCGAAATGGTTGCTTATCCTGCCTTGATTCGAACTTCGTTTAGCTCACTTCCGTGACTATGCGCTAATCGTTGACCATTAATATCGACCACGAACACTTGTCCTGTAATCTCCCACAGTTCGATTTGTCTAGACATCTTAGCTCCGTGTCCAGTTTTATTGTTTTCCGTCGTCAGTTGTGAAGTGATGTTTAGATTGAATGCCAGGATTTCCTGTCCTTGATTTCCGCCTCTGCAAGTTGGTTGTGAAGCTTGTACTACAGTCGCTGCTACCCTACCAGACTTCTACCGCTCGTGAACTATTTTGTCTACACGTACTCGTTCAAAATTTCCGTCCAGATTTGCTTATTCCGGTGATCTCCATTTATAACCTGACCGGACTATCAGTAAAGTTAATATAGAGCAATCCAGTACAAGCAACAGAACCAAGTTATATCTGCAGTTTAACCGTATTCCCTGTATTTTTATTTTGATCTCGTTTGTGCTGCAGATGAGTAACTCGATGCGAACATCTGCGCCGGTTGACGCTCTGGTCAAAAATGAAATCTTGGCATCATCAAAGACAGCTACTTCACTGCCGTAGTCTCGACACACGTGTCCTCGACGCGACATCAGTCTACTTGTCGGGTTTGTAACAATGCAGTGCACCTTACGCTGTCATACAGTTTATCAACCTGGACACTACGAGCGGGAGATTTGAAAACCAGTCAGTGTTCGACTACTGACATCTGTGAAACAGTGATCGGATATAGTAGGAATATGCGGACAATGCTCAGATACATTCAACAGTGTGGGAAAATGGACTCATACTAGTTATGTGACCTAAATTGCGCTGGCTTGACCGTGTTCTTCGACTATCGGCAAACCGAATTGATCGAAGAGTCGTCTTCACCCAACCGTGTGCAGAGTGGAAGCGCAGTAAGGGAGGTTAGAGAGTGACGTGACAGTGAGTCACGAAGGTTCCCCACCAACAAACTCGAATCAGCAACTGTCGTCTTTCCGGATGGAGACCCCAAGAGGTGACCAGTCAAGCAACCAATGGCGCTCGTGCACCCAAGCTGTTGACATCAGTGCGTAGCTACCCGAACCCCAGACCTATAACAAAAAGTTCCCGAAATACCACTATCCAATTCATTATCCAAAAATATCTGCTATCGATTCCAACATAATTGATGAACGGAACCGCAGTAGCTAGGACCAACCTACAGCTCGTACACGATTTAAAACTGATGAGGATAAGGAAGATGGTGGTGGAGACTTGATGCCTTACTGCCTAATTTTGTATAGTCTATTTCTTACGTCCATTCAGATTAATTGTTGACACACTAGCCTTGCTCACCGAAGACGAATGAAAGTTCCTGTGGATTAGGGGTTATGGCGTGATGTCACTCATTTGCCTCCTCACGTTGGCACTCTGGTGGTCGGTTAGAGCAAATTTCCGGGTGCTGATTAGGAGATTATTCAATCGTAACACACCGATGATGACATC